TGTTATGGACTTAGACTTGGCACTTAAAGTTGAGAAACTACTGATCTCATTGATAAGAGCAGTGCTGAAGAAAGGTTTTTCCATAAGGTTTGGGAAAGGTCAAACAGATAAAGTTATGTTTGTGCAAATGACCTTAGCAAAGAATATCAAGTTTGTTATTCCTAAAACTGAAATTGCTAAGGAATATATGAAGTTTGTAAAGATTGTTCCCAAACAACTGACAAGTCACTTGCTGACACACTGATGAGTACCTTAACCACCATGAAATTTGCTAGTTCTCATACAATGCATGAGTATGTTACTGAAATAAGTAACATTGCGACAAGATTTAAGACTGTTGGGATGATTGTAGATGAGAACTTCATGGTACAGTTTATCATCAACTCCTTGTCTTCTGAATATGGTCCATTTCATATAATCTATAATAAATTAAAGGATAAATGGAATGTGAATTAATTCCACAGTATGTTTGTGCAAGATGAGACAAGGTTTAAGAATCAAGAAAATTAATTTGTTCATCTCGTAAGTCAGTAAGGAGCTGGAAAGAAATATAAGAAAAGGCCTAAAAGTGACATTGAGCAAGAACCACTAAAGATAAACGCATCTTTTGTCCAAATCCACAATAAGGAACACAAGAAAAATACGCATCATTTCTGTCGCAAACTTGAACACCATAAAAAGAACTGCTTGAAACGTAAGGCATGGTTTAAAAGTAAAGATTATTTCTTATGTATGTTCGATAACTTTTTTGTCTAGACTCTTTTGACCTTGCATCATAATGTTGTACCAAACGTGGTTTATTTAATGAATGATCTGCTAACTTGTCACATAAACATTTGGGTTACATATCCAAAAAAAGGGGATAGAAGGATTAGTAAGAATGAAATCTTTCCCGACTTGAATTTTAGTGATCTTGGAGCTTGTATAGATTGTATTAAGCGTAAACAAATTAAACACATAAAGAAATGAGCCAGAAAAAGCACACAGCTTCTTGAGATAATACACACCGATATATGTAAACCTTTTGGCATTCCATCATTTGGTGGAGAAAAATATTTTATCACATTTATTGACGACTTTTTCACATTATGATTATGTCTATCTATTGCATGAGAAGTCTAAATTTGTAAATGCTTTAAAGATCTTTGTCAATGAAATTGAACGGCAATTAGATATAAATGTGAAAATTATTAGATCTAATGGAGGTAGTGAATATTATGAAAAGTGTGAGGTCCATTTGCTAAATTTCTAAAAATACATGGCATATGTTCTCAATATACTATGTCAGGCGCACCACAACATAATCATGTGGCTGAAAGGTGTAATCATATTCTAATAGAAATTGTTAGATGTATGTTAAGCAATTATTCTTCACCCGTTTCATTATGGATTTATGCATTGAAGATTGTCATATATTTGCAAAACATAGTTCCTAGTAAGACAATTCCAAAAATTGCTTTTGAACTGTGAACTGTAAGGAAACCCAATTTAAGGTACCTACACGTTTGGGATTGCCTGACAGAAACAAAAATTTATAATCCACATGAAAAGAAATTGGACTCAAGAACAATTAGTGTATTTTTCATTGGTCCAGAAAAATCAAAATGGTATAGATTTTATTATCCTAATTATAGTACTAAAATTGTTGAAAGTGGCAAAATCAGTAAGAGTTTATAATCACGAAATATGGAAATGCAAGAAGTTAGAGCTCAAAATTCTCTACCCTCAAATTGTTGAGCATCATGACAATTTGCCAGAATAACAAATAAATTATCAAACATCTCATTTATAGAAAATTTGATAACTTAAAGGTCATTTGATATTCAGATTCAAACTTTGCTAGATGTGTAGATACTAGAAAGTCCACATTTGGCTATCTGTTCCTCTTGGCTAGAGGGGCTAAATCATGAAAAAGTGCGAATAGTCAATCATTATTGCATCCACTATGGAAGCTGAGTTTGTGGTGTGCTTTGAAGCCACTATTCAAGGAAATTGACTGTAGAACTTTATTTCAGGGCTTGGAATTGTATTGCCAAATCGTTAAATTTTATTGTGATAATTCTACATCAATCTTCTTTTAAAAAAAGACGTGTACTCTAAATGTGCTAAACACATGGATTTGAAGTACCTTGCCATTAAAGAAGAGTTAAAAAATAAAAGATGTCAATCAAACATATTAACACCAATTTTATTATGACAAATCTACTAACCAAAAGATTCCCAACAAAGACATTTAATGAACATATCAAAAGAATGGCATTATTGGAAATGATCATTGACATTATGAAATTTATGTAATTGACACTTTGAGCTCGTTATGTATTGTTTTTGACAAAAATATCATTCACGCCATAATAGTTGGTATATTTACATGAATGGATTATATGAATATCAACAGAGATAATCTTTTTGAAGACATTATTATAGTACAATTATCGAACTTCTCATTACGTGTCATGCTAGGTGGAATTAATATTGTAGTATATGAAAGGAACTTTGCCAAAATGATGGTGTAAAACCGCCTATGACTCTTATCAATCTTTACTTAAAGATAATATATTAAATGACCAATGCATAAAGGATTTTAGCTTTTCATATGCACATTATGTTATAGATAAAATAACGATGTAATATTACATTGGGCAAGTGGTATAACATTAGACCAATTAGTGTGATCCAAATAATATTATTAATAAGTTAATTAAAGTGATTTATTATTGTTAAAATCTGATTGGCCCATTGAACGTTGACAATTTTATAATTGTCAACTTTGATGAAAAATAAATAGTTATTTTTATAACTCATAAAACTGTCTCATTGCCTATAAACATGAGCGAAACTCATCAAATTAAAAAATTCAATTACAAAAAATAAACAAATAAATAAAACGAGAACAATTTCTTTATTTTACTAGTTAATTTTTTTTTCCAGATTTAAATCTATCAATTATTGCCATGCATCAAAATATGTTTCTTGATTAATTAAATTTATATATAAAAATCATGAATTGATATCAGGATTTTATTACTTAAATATTGCATATACGAAATTTTCCATTAAAAAAATTCTTCAATTGACCGAAGATCAGCATTTGACCAAAATTTGACCAATTTTAAAATGACACGATATTCTTTAACCTTTAATTAATTAAAAATGTATCAAACTTCCAACCCATTCATAATCCCAAACATTTAACCACTGTATGCCAGATGAAAATATATCATTTTCCATCCAAAAATCTGCCAATTAACCAGAACTTTTCATCTTCCTCAATTCACCCAACCTCAACCCCAACCCCAACCCGTGTATTGGATTCAATGACAGAATATATATACGTAATGAATAATGCTATACAACTCCAATCTAGATGACGCTAGATAATAGAGTAAATGAGATTTGAAATTAAATTATTTATTTAATTTCACCTATCATTTCTTTAATTTCACCTATTATTTAATACCACATTAACGCAACTCAGTTTAGATTGCGCTAAATGATAGAGTGAATGAAATATGAAATTAAATAATTTGTTTAATTCCACATATCATTTAATACCACATTAACGTCACCCCAACTGAAGTTGTAATCTAAGTGAGACTAAATAACATTACTCATAAGTAATTCCACTACAATAGCAATATACATTTACACAATCCAAATAGTTTCAAGAATGCAAGAACGGATATACGAACTATTGATAATGAATGTATTCTCACAACTTGATTTACATACTATGCCTTTTACCTCACTCACAGTTTCTACCAAAATGAAAATCCTTGCAACAATATTAGTTAAAACCTTAATATTTCCACAAACAAATGCTTGCAAAAAATTGTATAATCAGAAGTAGACTCTTATAACTTAAACGCCTCCCTACTAGAAAATGCTGCTAAGACAGGATTAAAGATAGTGAAAAGTTTGTCAATTACCCTTCTTCCCATCTAATGTACCAAACATGTATCGACTCAGGCCATCGTTTCTAACATCAGAAACCAATTTACTTCACAGAAGAATTGCAGTGAAGTATCTCATGGTACCAATTTCATTATTCACACAACATACAGACAGGCACTCCTCCCCAAACCAAGTGAAAAATAGGAATATATATGATTTCATGGGAAATACAACAATAAAAAACCCACCCTTCCCAGCATATTTCACACATGTACATGATACACAAAGAATGAACGACCAAAATTAAAACCCAATACTAACAAATTCATCAAAAACCAAGCCAGCTGATCATTCGGTAGCATCTATTGGAGCCCCAGTCCTGGCCTGTGATATCCGGTTTGCATAAATTGTC